ATAATCCATTTTGTTTGCTGTTTTCTCCCATGCCCCGAAAACAGAAAATATCAAAATGCTGTTAAAAAGCAGCTGCTTGGATTAGCTGCTACTGTTGGGCGTTGGGCGGAACTACCCTATCACTCTAACAATGGCAGGTATATCTGCTGTGATCTTTTTTGAAGTGATAAAGTCCACCTGAAAACATTGTCAGTGCAGTCAGTTCATCCAGATTACCATCCTGCCTTCAAATATTATTACTCTGTGGGAGCCGCTCAGACCCCCATACACCGGCGGTGCTCCGTCACTGGGAATCCCATTCAACAGCAGCCTATGGCCCGGTCGCCTCTTTGCTGGGACAGCTTGAGGGCATTTTTCATGTACGTAATCCAAACTGCAGGCACCAGGATAATAAAAGCGAATATTTTTACATTTCGGCTTAATTTTGGCATTAATAAACTGTTTCGGAGGAGGGATCATAGCGCTCTGCATCATCAGTGCTGCCTGCCAGCTCCTAGATCTGCTGCTCCTGCTGCTCTAGACACGCTATACCACGGAAAATAACGTTTTCATCTGTCATCCAGGATGAACAAAGCATTTATTATTTATCACAGCATGCTAGTCAGCCCCTGGAATGCACTAACATACTTCCTCATTAAAAGCTTAAGGTCATTGCATTGAATCAGAACAAGCATCAATCTAATTTTATCTCCCATCGTTATAAAGAAATAGAGCAAGAATTACTGTAATGTAGACTTTTTTGTTGAGTTATTATTTAACTTATTTTCTGTGATCCAGACAAAAGAGGGAGCTTTTGAGTAGAGTCTTTGAATGAGTTGCATTTTTAAATTGCAGCAGCTTGTAATAAAAAGTTATCGAAAAAAGAAGGACAATTTGTTAGAGTGGTGTTCAATTTATCATTACAGGAAAACACAAACAGATGATCCCCATTAATGAAAGAACATATAAACAATCCCTCTATAAACAAACACAGATCTGGGTCACATCTTTACAAAAAACAAGAAGCTGGTGATGAAAGTGGATCTTTTCGGGAACAAATCAGCATCTAATTATAATATAAACTGATGAACTGATCTGACTTTTTAACACCCAGAATGATCCAACATGGAAGCAACAAGGGAACCATAAAGGGAAAGTAACAGCATGCAGATTATCTGATATGTTTACAGAAGGAAAAAACTATTTTTCAGTCCAATCAGAGAGGTTTTGAAACGACCTCCTGAGATCCCAGTGGGGGTTAATTAATTTTTGAACATGTCACATAGGAGCTTCTCCATGGGAGTGTTTCCAATGGTCCTGTGGAAGAACAGCAGCTCAATCCGCTCCGAGTTCACAAAACGCAGGGAGGGAAGAAGGAGGAGCAGCTTTCCAAACCTGAACACAGTTGAGAAATCATAAAGGATTCAGCTTTAGAGTTAAACATAAATCCATTTAAAACATAAATATCAACTTAGAATTTAAGCTTATCACACACGGTTAAAAATCCTCAAATATTATTTTCTCTTTCAAATTAATCATTTTAAAGATTATTGTCACTTTGTTATTTGTTTCACTTTTATGTGTTTATTTTATTTTTATCTTGATTGAGTTTGTTGTGTTTAGTCTTATTTTTTTATCTCACCAATTTAGTATGCTTTATTTTATTCAGGTTTGATTTTTATGTACGTAGTTTTTTTAAATTCTTTTAGTTTGCTCTATTTAGCTAATTTATTATTTACCTCTTATGGAGAATTTGTCTTTAAAGTGAAATTGCGCTGTTCAATAATAAAGA